CATACCTCCAATGTCTGAATACTGAACATCAGGTTTCTCATCTGTGAAAAAAGTTGTTCATATTGAATTAGCATACAATTTACTTTTTAGACTGCCTCATTGGCTGAGTGGTCGCAAGTGTGACTGCCTGGCAAGGGGTTTGGGGTTTGACTCGGGTATTTCTGAATATTTTAAGTTAACTCAGTAGTAGCACGGAGTCTGGAATTGTGCCCGGTATATGGCAATAGGCTCACCCCCAAATACATGGGACTCATAACATAATAGTGTAAAGTAGGGGTTATGCTGTACAGTCGCACAGTGGCGTTAAGTGACGTAATGTGTACCTCTGCCTACCCCTGCGGCGGTAAAAGGTGATGTTATGTTATTACTTTTTTTAAAACTATGAATATTACTTGGTATTGCCCTCTGCAAAAAGTCACAATCTGTATAAATGTTTATGGATAGTAATAGTATCACATTGTTAGTTAACAGGATACTACATTATTTTTCACAGAAGTTTGAGTAGATGTAGTGTGTGTGACACCTCGCCCTATAAGTAAGTAGTGTAAGTTAGTTCTTAGGACACTCAATTAAAGTTATTCCTAAGAACAACACGTCTCCCTCATTGCTCCACATTGCATGGCGACCCTGCCAGGATGATTAAATTTTAAAATAAATATAGAAATGAATAAAAGTAAGCACAAGTATAATAATGAAATGAAGAAAAATAAATAAATATAATGAAATAAATATAATTAATGAACAGGTACCGGAGAGTGCTGTATAAATATAATGTGCTTACATTACCTTACGATTATAATAAAGAAATATTTAAGTAAAATAAAATGTATTATGTGTACCTAGGTACATATAGAACAGTGAGTAAGAGATTATAATACGTTGTAAAAGAGATAACAGTTGTAAGTATTATAATTATTTCAGTTGTAAGAATAATTTACCAAATGAATTTCAAAATATACCTAAAACTTGAATCGTAAAGTATATTGTCAACAGTGCGAATATTTTAAGAAATAATTATCTATGTTTGATTTAACGATCAAAAAAAAAATTTAAAAAATATTTTTTTTCCAAAAAAACGGGGGAGGTGTAGTGTGTGTGACACCTCGCCCTATAAGTAAGTAGTGTAAGTTAGTTCTTAGGACACTCAATTAAAGTTATTCCTAAGAACAACACGTCTCCCTCATTGCTCCACATTGCATAGATGTAAAATTGGAATGGTTTTGTTTCGAATCAGTTTTGTTACTTTTAGTCTAGGACTTGTAGCGTTAAGCGTTTCTTTACTTATAAAATAAGTAAACCTAAGTTAATACCCAAAAGAAAGAATTTTATTTAGGTCACCGAATTTTGAAACCCTTCTACTAAGAAAATTCTAGTTTCTTTTAAGTACAATTTACGAAATCCAGATACATACCAGCTTGCAACATAGAGATAGAGCTGTCAGCTTCTGGTGGCAATACATCCACAAGTGCGTTGGAGTGCTTGTGCAGAGCCACAGATGCAGATGGCTTCAACAGTTCTCGGTCAATGGTGGACAAGATACGGACATAGTAGTTGGATCCGGTAGTACTGCCAACTGTGGAACACAAGGACTGTTAAGTTGATGTCACAAGGAATGAAATGAATATGGCAGTTATTTTATTACAGTTATTATAGTATAATTAGAATATTGCCTGCATATCAGACATACAATAAATATTCTCTGGATTACAGTCTTACAAATAATTGACATTCTTGTGACAATTTGTCAATCTATCAACTCTTCTAGCATTGTTCTAGTTAGTTTATATCATATTCATAGTACAAACCTATTCCAGTATTTTGGTCGACTGCTTCAAGGAACTGGCCAATAACAAGTGGCACAGACTGTATGCGCTTCACTTCTTCTTGGGCATGCAGATATTCTTTTTTCAAATTTCTTTGTTCATCTTTTATGTATTCCTCTTGCACTTCCAAAAATTCTAACATACGTTGCAGTTTCTAAAAAAGAAAATTCTAATTTAAATCCAATACCAGTTAATACAATGAGTACAATAAAATCACTCTTGCCAATAATTCTTTCAGTTCTTATTGTTAGCTAGAAATGATTGTGATGATGAAAGTTATAATTAGGTTTATGTTATTAGCGACATATTCTACTTTTGAACAGAATTTCTACATAACAGAGGCAATTTTCATAGTTTATTTTTAATCTAGTCTATGACACAGCTTGTGGTATACTATAATTTTGTTTTATAGTCAAATGTAACAAATTTACCTTATATTTTGTGTAGAGATCTTCGGATTCCAGTTCATCAAAAGATTGAGGTCCAGCAAAGGGCAATCCTTTAGCATCGGTGACTTGGTCATCCTGAAAGACAATGATGATGTTACTCAAAAACTATTAGTTGTTAGGTTTAATAATTGGTGAATCACTGTTACCTTCTCCGGCAATATAATACCGATTTCTTCCATAATAAATTTATAATTTAAGTTAAAACAGCTGAAATTAATGCGTTTATGATAAGTCGACTGCTCACGATTCGGATGCCACTATATTCAACATCATTCAAATCACTGAGTAACATGACATTACAAAATAAATTGAAATTTGAAAGGGAAGATATAATTCTAGTATGGAGTAAAAGAGACCAAGTATATAAAATGCTCAAAGTCTGCAATGTATAAATAACAGCAGCGAACTTGTCAAACTTTCGAAACGCATCGTCACTTACGTTTCTACTTACGCTGTAGAATTTAACGTTTCCTCGATCTTATTATATTAACAGAAAAATTAAATGTTTAAAAATAAGAAAATGAATAATTTTACATTAATATTGCATGTAAAAGATTTAATTCAATAATTTCTAAGTTATTCAAAATACCTTTGACGTTTGGTGTGTACCAATCAAAATAACAAAATATCGTGTTCGATTTTCTAAAAAGTTGCAAGTTGCAACACTTTTGTCACAAAAATTAACCTCAAATTTGAATTGGTGCAACCAATGTTACCTATTTTCATTTGTTAATTGTTTATAATCAATATCTCAGTGAAATACACTGAAAAATTACTGCTAAATAGGATCGTTCATTTCTCAAATTATAGACATGGCGCAACCTGAAATGAGTGAGGCTGACCAAATCAAAACAGTGAGTCGATTTTTTATAATTAAACTAACAAACGTATGTTATTCCTTACTGAAATCATAATAAAATTGAAGTTTTGTATGTGAAGCAGCGCTGAATAATGTTATTAAAGTAATTTTAAGTTAATATTTACAAGGACTTTTTAATAGTATCAATGTTTCTCATGTTTCAGTTCAAAGACTTCTTGGTCCAGTACAACAAGCTGTCTGAGTTGTGCTTCAATGACTGCATACATGACTTCACCACGAGATCACTGAAGCCATCGGAGGTAAGAACAAAGAATGTCTTATTATGTCAGACTATGCAAAGTTTCATCATCACATACTTCATCACCATCATCTTTGTTGTAAACAAAAGAAATGCAAATTACTCTTTGACCTAGTAGTTTAAAGTGCGACTTTCGGTTGTTAGTCTCCATTTTGTTTCTGAAATCATTTCATTCATTCATTCTCAAAAGCTTACAGCAGATGCTTAGTCTAAAATTCTGTGTTGTGTATGACAATAATTTTACTTCTACTATATGGGATTCAAAACTAATGAAAAGGTGTGAACATCTGCCTACCCCAATGTGTTCTTCAATTGATAAATAAACCATCAAATTAACTTAAACTTTAATCTAATAAAACTAATGTTATTTTTTCCAGGATAAATGCACAATGAATTGCATGGAGAAATATCTCAGAACAAATCAGCGGGTGTCACAAAGATTCCACGAGTTCCAAATGCTGGCTAATGAAAATATGCTTGCACTAGCACAGAAGACAGGTCAAAGTTAGGTTTAGTAATAATGATACATGATGTATTTATTTTATTTTGTTATAGATTTTTGTCCTGTGTGTTAGAAAAATACAAGTGTTGTTAAATGAAGCCTAACAATATTTTAGTTTTATTTTGTATCCAAGTTTCCCTCGTGTCATCATCATTATCGTATTAGGCACAAGATATTCACTGCTGAACATAGGCCTATAGGACTAAAGGACTTCCAGGTACACATATTTTTTATGAGAAGCATAAAATTAAAATGCATCTGTCTTAAATATTTCTGTAGCATTAGCTTCTACCAGCGGCTTTGCCCGCGTCCCCGTAGGACAAAAACCCATAGCCTATGTATTATTCCAGACTGTATACTGATCTATCCCTGATCCAAATTTTATCTCGATCCCTTTAGCCATTTTGACGTGATTGTGTAAAGCATTTATAATATTATTAGTAAGACATGTAGGCATCTCTACTACGGTAAAACGGGGTGAATAGATACAGAAGAGTTGTTTATTCAATATCTCAGTGAAATACACTGAAAAATTCTGTATCTATTCACCCCTCGAAATCTATTCACCCCGTTTTACGATACCTAGGAAGGAGAGGATTACGTGGGGCCTTTATTGTCACACACTTTCTAAGAACACGTTAGGGTAGCATTAAAGAAGAAAATGAAATACTTAGCATTCTCAGGGCAATAATACGGCCCGTTGTGTGAGTCAAGCAAGTTGAAGGAGGCCCAGTCCCTTCCATCCCAAAATGGCCGACAACGCGCTTAGAACTTTTCTGGCGTTGCGGGTGTCTATGAATGGTTGGTTGGATTCTTGGATTGCTTACCATTAGGTGATGCATCTGCTCGTTTACCGACTTACTACTCGACTCCTACGATCAACTCACTCCAAACCTAGAGTTCCGAAGGCGCCTAATTTTCTACGATTGAGATATTGCCGAAGTTATTTTTGTAGGTGCTGAGTATATTATTAAACAGACGAAATAGGTTTATAAAGAGGAAACTACCCAAGTGCCTAGACATTTTCTCACATAATAATATACGGATGCATCGTATCGGGAGTTACGACTATAAAAAAAACAAATTGTAAATAGTAGGTAATGTTAAGTATGTTATTTAATGACGAAAGTAATTATGCATTTAAATCTGAGAAAGTATCACTGAAGATAGATTTGACGTATGAAACCTTACATGTGAAACGTCATTAATGAGTTTGTAATCGTAACATAGTTTGGACGACCATTCTTTTCATCCGATATTTTACATACTTGATCAAAACAAAAATAAAAGTGTCCATTGTTATGTATAAACTATTATACTTTAAATGTTATTTTTTATTTCCTCAAACTATGCCAATATCCTTTATTATTAGAACCTCTGCTTGTTGGCTCTTAAAAGTTGTTTTCAAATTATTATTTATCTGTCCTGCATAACATACACATTATGCTTCGTTTCGGACAAGGCTTAATGCACCGTTGTTCAGGTGGTGAGAAATCTAGTATAAAAGATGATTGCGAACTAGTGTAATCGAAATGATAGTCATTGAACTTTGCTTCCACGCTGTATTTTGCTGCTGGTGGAGGATTTGGACCTCCAGGTCCAGCTTCTTCATCATCAACGTTTAAAACATACTTCAGTGGGTAAGGCCCTGAGGGCGCATTGCTAACATTAGAGGGTTTGGTGATGATACTGTAATTTCCACCATGTCTGACGATTCTTATGAGAGCTTGGCCACATGGAGATTGTTTGCAGCAAGACAGCGTCGATGGACAGACGGTAACGCATTTGGGAGGCAAACAACATGGTTTGGAACATGTCGCTCGACAACATATTGAAGGTGAAGGGGTGCACTCGCTTTTAACGCAATTGTGCGCCTCAATTTTTCTGAGAACCGGGCAGGAGATGTGACCAGGTCGCCAGCCGCATCTCAACTGAAAAAAAGACAATGTCAAGAAATTTCTTATTCGGACCAACCATCTTTTCTCCAGAAAGGTGCGATTTATTTTCCTTACTTGGTGTTCAGGGGCATCTCTGGCGGTGTACAGCCATCCCATGTGTTTTGGCACAGGACCTGGTTTTATTTCCTCTCTATCTAAGCATCTGTGCTTCGGCAGATCGCAGCGGCCTAAACAACTCGCCGAAGATTTATTTGCTGTAAGAAAATGTAGGTACCTAAGTATTATAGGGTTGAATCCACAACACTATGCTTTTTGCCACCGTTGTGGTATAAAAAAAACTATCCGACACAAGTAGGTATCCAATACATAAAAATAATTTTTATCTTAAACGGTTTTAATGAACTCTATTGTATAGCGTCCCTACCTACTTAATTTTGCAAGTTATAAAATAAGTATTGACTGCCACATTGGCTGAGTGGTCGCAAGTGCGACTGCCGGGCAAGGGGTCTCGGGTTTGATTCCCGGGTCGGGCAAAGTGATGTTATGTGTAAAATAAGTACTTATAGCCATAGGTAGGTAGTCTTTTTGTTCTTTGTCTAAATAAAAAAATATATGACTAACTAAAAAGCTAACTGACTCTCACTATGAACTAGGTGTTTCTAATTGTGGTCTGGTTAGTTGCCTTCAAGGTTATGGAATAGCAGTTTCAGATACCACACGTAGGTTACCTAAGTACCTATTTATGTAATATTACAATATTTTACTTACATTTACCCTGTGCTCTACAACAACAAGCCATTTTAAAAACTTAAGGAACTGCAAGAAAAACAGTGGATTATCACAACACACGATTAAAGATTATCAAATTTACAGGTCTGCAGCTTACTGTATGGCATGGAAATAGAAAATTAGCCTGTATACCTCCACTATAGATGAGGTACTTTTACTTACTTAGGTACTTTTACTTACTTTTTTTAGACGTTACGGGATATAGGACATATTTAGTTTTGCCGGGTTATCCATCAGATGGACAGGTGTTTTATTCTAGAAGTAATTTCCATGGGATTAAAAATAAATTAAGTATTTTGGTTTACATTTCTGTCTTCGGTGTAATTGACGGTGACAGACTGCAAGTGCCATGTTTTCGTTCTTCGAATGTCTTAATTTTTTTTGACGGATTTCTATGTGATAACTACTTAATGTCTTTAAACTTTTTGCTTTCATCTCTTTTTCTTGTAGGTAAGTCAGCAGATTGTTTATAGAATCTTCTACTTTCTGCCTACCTTTAACGAATTATCTAAACTGTGATTCAGGGATCTCAGATTGGTAATATTTAATACAAGAAATAAAAACCAGTTTGCGTCGGACGATATGAAACCACAGTCATATGTTGAAGTCATCGGCCTAGTCAAGGTTAGGTGGGTCTAACTTATGTACCTCAATAGATAAGTAGCGTAATAGCACTGCTTTAAAGCTTACAGATTAAAGTCCAAATATTTTTTGTATCCGTAGCTAGATCCGTAGATAGAGATAGATAGATTTGATATGATGTAAATTCTTTAAACATAAAAAAATATCATAAAACTTCGAGCAGTCATTTGACCGCTCGCCGTCTTTGTAGGTAGATGATTTTTTCCGTCTTTCTAGTGTTAAATATATCCCATAAACAAGCGTTGTTGTTACATCACGTGACATTTAAATAATGAGCATAGAGGTCGTTACTGGGTAAAATGATCCTAATTTTGGAATAGGTTGTCTATACAATTAGGTATAATGGATATTAAAGTGCGTGATGCGTAACTAAAGTACACACTAGGCACGTATGATATTATTACCGTGCACCAGGCGAGGAAGTGGTCAAACGTCGGCCCATCGAAAAAAAAAGGGTCGCGGAGAACTAACAGGATACCGGGGCTCCGGCTCGACGTGGAGAAGAAAGAACGGGGTGGTTTTTAGTCAGTAAGACTCTGACACTCCCTCCCGCCTCACCTAGGCGGGAGCAGCCATTCGAAGATTTTCCACCTTAAAAAAAATAGTAAAAAAACGATAGTATCTATTAGTAAGTACTAGTAGTAGAAGAAGTAGTTTGTTATTTGCAGAATTAATAGACCGAGAGAAATAGATTCCATTGTTACTTATCAGACTACCTGCCTCTGGACCAAAGTACCTACATATTTAATTACTTATTGTGATGATATCGAATAAGTTTACTGTTTCTTGCATAAAATGACGTCCATTATTATTTTTGAAGAGATAAGCAGCAGTCACATCCTTTAGTCTCGTTTATTTACCTATATTCTTCTATAGGTACTTACTAACAGATTTATTAAATTTGTACAGAGGTCAATTCTGTTCATGAAATGTATTTCTAAAATAACTATCAGGGGTAATTAGGGATCGGTACTGATGCCAAAAACAGAGAAGTAAATTTACTTAAAAAATAAATCGTAGGGGGTGTTAATAGATAGACACCGAACCCAAAAATGTGACAAAAATTTTTTGTCTGTCTGTCTATCTGTATGTTCACGCATCACGCAATACGATGAAACTTCATCATAATCTGCAACAGCTTAAGCTTATTAAATGTCCACTGCTGAGCAAAGCCTCTTCTCACATGGAGAAGGTTAGAGCAATAATCACCACGCTTGCGATGCGGGTTGGTGATTTCAAACTTATAATTAGAAATTATAGGCTCAGGTTTCCTCACGATGTTGTCCTTCACCGTTGGTCAGTGGTGTCTAAATAATCTTAGAAAGTACATATAACTCGGAAAAAGTCACATTGGTACTTGCCGTTGGTAGGTTTCGAACCCGCACTCCCCCTCGTCGTGCATGAGAAGTAGGCGTCTTCAACTTCCGGGCCACCACGACATAAACAATACGAACAAAACTTGGTATGATTATACTTTAATATATCCTACATGGGCATCACACTGACTACCTGCTAAATCAGTAACAATTGTAGCAGATGACACTCTTAGTTTCTGTCAACCCTCATGGTTGTGAGTTACCTATGTATAAGTAAGTATGTATATATGTACGTATGTATTTCGTAGGTTAGGTTACATAATGTTATGGATGTAGATAAGTTATCGACGTCACTTCATTTTCCCAGGGGAGAAATAAGGCAATTACTGGACCTACAACAGTGCAGAAAGTTATTAATGTCATCACGGTAATGAAACTAAATGACACGACTAATTACACACCAGTAAACAATATTAGCTTTTTACAAAAATATAATAAGTAGGCAAGGCAAGAACAACGGTTTTTTGGATATTAAATAAGTACTTCCAGTTTGGCACTAGTTAAGTGTACTAAGACAATCGTGACACAATCTAAAGTCCGTATGTGGCTAGAAGATTATCAGCTACATGTACCTAAAGATAGCTTGTCACAAAAGGTAAAACTATAGTAGTATAGTAATGAACTCATTTTTTAAATAATGTAATAAATAAGTAAGTAATATATTCCATATTCAATACTTTTAACTTTCAATAAATACTGGGTTCAATTTAATAAAATAATAAAGTTCCACAATACAAACGGAAATCCAAATGGTGCTTAGTCTATACTAATATTATAAAGAGGAAAGATTTGTACCTATTTTTGTATGTTTGTAATGAATAGGCTCAAAAAGTACTGGGCCGATTTAAAAAAATCTTTTACCAATAGAATGCTACATTCTTCCAATTTTACATAGACTACATTTCAGTTTGAAAAAAAAAAAATGTCTACCCCGTGCGAAGCCAGGAGGGGCTGCTAGTTTTAAATAAAAGCACGCACATATCATGTCGTGACCACTACTGAAATGTTTAGTTTTAACTTTATAGTGATATGTAAAAGTAAACAATATTACAGATATCACAAATTCAGTTATCCCACTTATCATTTTTACGCAATTTTTTTCAAAATTTTGTAGTATCTACATACGTCGATAAATCTCCAAGTTTATCAGACTTTAAATACAATGATCAACCTTTGACATGTTCCTTTAATTCTTTAGTATACCTACAATATTATTAGATAAGATAGTCCCTTGACTATCTAATGGATGGTGGAATAAATGTAACAACAGGAGGAATCATAAATTTCTAACCGATCCACTTTTCAATTTTAGTTATCACATCAATACTTAAATCTTTAAGTGTGGAAGAGACATGCTTCGGCACGAATGGGCCGGCTCGCCCAACACGATACCATGGCCTCACAGAAAAACGATGTGAAACAACACTTGCGTTGTGTTTCGTCGTGTGAGTGAAGTTACTGGAGGACTAATTACCTTACCCTTTGTTATTTTAACTCCCCAATGTCTTCAATTCACGATTCTCCAACAATCCTCAAATTCCTAATCCCCAAAAGGCCGGTAACGCACTTCTTGTGTTTTGGGTGTACATGGGCGGCGCCGATTGCTTATCATCAGGTAATCCATCTGCCCGTTTACCGGCTTATCCTATAAAAAAAGTTTTTTCTATGGTAGGCACATAGGTACCTACTAATGTCATCAACTAGATTCAAATGTCAAAACTTCGACGTGTGTCAATTGTACCTTCCCCTACTTATTATACTCTTTGATTGTACCTGTACCTGTGTGTTAAGTGAGCTTACTGGAGCCCTCTTCCTCCCTAGAAGGCCGGTATGCACTTTTAATGTACCTGCCTCTGGTGTTGCTGATGATGCATTAGGTGTATAATGAAAAACTCCTTCGTCCCATCTCACCGGTTTATATCACCGGATCCTACAATACCTACACTCCTACAGATAAAACAATGGTAATAAATTCTTTCTATGAATTTATAATCCCCACAATAATTAATGAAATTCCGCAAAATATTCAAAACGAAATTAACTTCAAAAACTATATACAGAAATATAAAAAAATATTGCCACGATTACATAAATAACTTGGTCTAAAATTATTCATAAATCAAAATATAAAAAACAGCCTGTAGGTATATTACAATTTTTGATGTTGACGAGAACAGGTTGTATATATTGAGAAATTAGACAAGAAATGATGCGAATATAGCGTAGGTACCTACTATGGGGTAGACTACAAAAAAAATAATATATTAGTTGTTACCGTGTGTGTTGGTAACGGTTTCTTTTTTTAAAAAGTGATTGCAATTTTAGTGTGTGCTTTTATGCTTTGATCTTGGATTTTTACTTTTTCTTTATAAGATAAATACTTAACTTATTTAAAATGTTATATCTATTGTCATTTGTAAGTATGCTCGATAGGTTTGTAAATTACTTACTAATTGAATGTGAGTATCAATACAAAACAGCGTTGGTTGAATGGTGCAAGAAAAAAAAAATTAAGTGTGAGAAAGCCATGCTTCGGTACGAATGGGCTGGCTTTACCGGAGTGATACCACGGCCTCACAGAAAACCGACGTGAAGCAACGCTTGCGTTGTGTTTCGTCTTTTGGGTGGGGTTAGGTACCGGAGGCCCAATTACCCCTTAATTATCCCTTTCCCCAACCCCTGAATCCCCAACGATTGACAAACTCCTAATCCCCAAAAGGCCAGTAACGCACTTGTAAAGCCTCTGGTGTTCCAGGTGTCCATAGGCGACGCCAATAGCTTACCATCAGGTTATCAGTCTGCTTGCTTGCCGGCTTATGCCGTAAAAAATATGGTGTAAAACTTTACTGAAATATAATAATAAATAAATTTAAAAAATAATATGAAGACTATCACGGCTTCTAGCGTGGTCAACGATAATTATTGTAAGTATTTTATCAAAAATCATTAGTCGCCTTCGTGAACATGGACTCGTCAATGCGAATATATTCCTAATAAAGCTATAACTCACTAGTTACGCTCTAATGAGAACTATTCATTTCTTGACTAATATATTTATAATGGAGGTTGGCACACGCCGTTACTTATCAGTGGTTGACCAACACGATTAACACTATTTTTAATAAATCGACACATATAATATTGGGTCGCCATTCACAGCTGGTTCACCTTAGAGATCGGCATCAAGTAGGACCGACTACTGAACCGGAGTGAGTCTCGAAACGTGGTAGGTACAATTGTTTACAGAATACGGAACCGAATTCAAGTGTGTTTGTATTCCAATTTAGTTTATTCGGATCGCAATTCAATAT